TTGTATATCTCCTCTTGTTCCCCCCCCCCCTTTATTCTAAATAAATCTTGGTTAAATTTTCTCAAAAAAAAAATTTCATTCAAATACGCTTTACATCTTATGTTTATGTATTTTAATTTTACATAATAGGTTTTCTAATACATTTATTTTAAAATTAAAGTTCATATTTTTTATTAATATTATGTTTAGTAAAGTTGCGCGCCTCACCTCGCACCTCAGCCGCCAATGGGTCTTTGCGCCTTTTTTGCGCCTTGCTCTTTTAAAATACTGCATGTGACAATCTACAAAGAAAAAGTAAATCATGATGCACACCCTTTCTTGTCTGGGAACTATGCCTTGCAAATGAGAAAGTGCTGATCATCAATCCCTTTCTTGTTCCTACACATCTAAGGTATGGAATCATCTCATTCTTCTTTTTGGATTAACTTCGCCTAACCCTTCAAATATAATTATAACGGAGCTTTTTACACAAAGGGAAAAAATTCTTTGGAAGCGTTTCAGCTGACCTATGGAGAGTTTGTGGTGAATGAATCGAAGAATGTTTTACAACATAAAACAAAGAGGTAGTCACTGAAAATGTCATGGTAAGGACAACCCATTGGGTGCTGAGTTGTAAAGACTTCAACATAGTTGTCTAGGTGGACGCTAGGCGACAAGGCGCCCTTGGAGGCTCTCCTCGCCCAATCGCCTAACAGTTTTTTATAGTGTCTTATAAAATACTTTTATATTGTTATTTTTTTGAGATTATAATTATAAAATAGACATTATTAAACAAAAATATTCATTTTCTGTGTTTATAAACTAATTTCTTTTTCTTATTTTCTTATTTGTTAGGGTTTAATCAACACAAACATTGCTAACTGCTGTATTGTGTTGGAAAGGGATGACGAGGATTATTCCTTGTGGAATCCGAGTCAGAATCTTTCCTATTTTTTAGTTATTTATTTTCTTATTTAGGCTGTGATTATTTTCCTTTTTTTGGCTGTGTTTTCGTTTCCTTTTTTTCTTTAGGCTAAATTAGTGGGTTAGTTTCCTAGAATAGCTCCTAGATTGATTCTTAGAAGTTGTATATATTTGTACAGATCTTCTCAATGAAATTAGAATAGAAATCTTCAAACATTTGTTTCTATTTTCATGGCATCAGAGCCTGCGATGATGTCTGGAACGAACCATTCTTCATCAACAGTGGACTCGAAAGCAGTAGATTCAACCATGAATGCATCGAGATCCCTTGGAACCTCCTTCACCACCTCTGACATAAGCCATTCTCTGCAGATTACCCAACACAAATTAAATGGGTCCAATTTTTGTGAATGGTTTCAATCCGTTTTGTTAGTGATTCGAGGAAAAGGAAAAGTGGGTTACCTTACTGGTG